TATATATATATATATATATATATATATATATATATATATATATATATTCATTGACATGTTTCTGGGTTAATATTATTCATTTTGTATGTTGTGAAGTTGTTTGCAATATTAAACTGAAATATTTGAAGAAATAAAAATGACTATAGGCAACTGAAAAACAAAATCAATGTTGATAAAGTTTCAACAGTGCACTTTAAGGCAGGTTTATTTCACTTAGCAGATGGGCAGATGAAGAGAAAAACGGAAACATAATGCACACATGCATGCAGACAAACTGCCATGTTTTTGACATGTAAGAGTGTCAAATCCTAATCGTCAATAACTGATTTTATCAGGCATCAGTGGAGTGTTTAATCACTGTACAGGCTCCTGAAAAATAATGATTGGGTTAAGCGTGGGGAAAGGGAACACAACAATGTTGCTAGTGGAAAGGATAGTGCTCTTAGAGGGGAAAAAATGTAGGGGGAAAAAAAGGAATAAAAGAAAATCTCCCAAACCACTTACTGCTCCCCATCGGCACTTTCCTGGAGCTCAACTACATGGGCTTTGATACTTTTTGATTCCTATCCAGGTGTTCAGAGATTGACTTAATGATCACCCCTACAGCGCATGTCATATTTCACAATTACAGGAACCTAACAGCACAAAAAAATGTGTCTACACATTCATGTGCAGACTAGTGGAGGTAGGGTTGGGTACACATGAGGCATGCCTGACTTCGACAGTGATGGATACAGCCACCCATACGTTTGTGTACATTAAAGTTGTTCACCCAACATTTCATCCTGAACCCATGCTAATCCCGTCTTTAAATACTTTCAAAAGGACAACAAGATTTTACGCAGCTGCACGGCTGCTATGATCACACAGTAAAGCAATTCTCAGCAACTTGTTCAAGAGCCTATTATGCCTTTACGTCAGTTTTTTCCTCCAGCAAATAAAAACCATCAAGTCACAACATAGTGGGATAGCAGTAAATTATAATAACCCTCTTACATGACATGTTCCTCAAAGAGTATATGCGTGTGTCTGAAAAAACACAATGCTTCATCAAAGACACCAGTTACACCACACATTTGTGTGACGTACAATCCCGAACGCCTCAGATAATGTCTTCCTCACTAACCTTGAAGGTAAGTGTGAGCCGCGAGGAAGCAGCAGTTTGGACATCCTCAGATTTTCTGAATGAAGACAGGAAAAAAAGAGAAGAACCTCCATCTGTGTTGAATGAAGATCCTCCAAACAGACCTGATGAAGACACTGTGAGTTATTTATGTTGAAAATACAATTTACAAAAAAAACCTCTGCAATGAACCAAAGGCAGCAGATTCTTCAATGCGTTGCTATTTTTTTAATACAAAACTAAAAAAAGGTTTTGTCAATGCCGTGAAAAACATTTGGAAAGAAATTGAAATAATACAAAATTATGTTGCTTTGGTGCAGAAAGAGAAACAGTTAATCTTTTCTTCTGAGGCAATTACTATTATCAAAGGTATGAGGTTTGGTCTAAAACTTGAACCACTATTCTGCCACTCATCACCCCTATCAAAGGATATGAGGGAGAGGTTTTCTATTAACTGTCTATGTAAGCAGAGAGAGCAATACCATCTTATGTGTTAAAATACCATGCAGCTGAATATAATGTGGGATTTTATTTATCCTGTGTTGTAGCTGAAACAAATTATTTAAAAAAACAACTCTTGTGCAAACTAGAGGCCCTTTTGTTTCTAAAATAAACTAATAAACTGCTGCTCACCTGGGTTGCATCTTATGCCAAAACCCAATGAGAAATGTCACAGGAAGCAGTTTTCATAGAGCCATCCAAAGCAAACTCTGTGTGTGTTCCTCACCAGCTGGGGTGTGGTCAGGAATGAATCATGCTCCAAAGTTTCAGCCCACAGAGAGCATTGCAGCAGTAGTTTCTGCAGATTTACGTACTTGACTCACAAGAAGTGCTGCAGGGAACCTACGGAGGGCAGCAGAGAGGCCACTCCCCACAGGGCCTCAACTGCCATTACACTAAACGAACTTCAAGCTTCCCGTTGAGGTTGCAAGGGTCAAGACCTTCAGATTCATACATCCTATTTAGTATGTTGGACCTTTTTGGTGTAAAATTCTGTAAGAAAAACCTAGCTCTTGTTCAATAGCAATTTATCTAAAAACATTTTTTATCCATCTCAACATTTTTCCCCATTTTGTGCAATAAAAAAAGACCAAACTCATATTTCCAAGGATAATTCAGATTCTGAAAAGATTCAATCTCAACATGGACTCAATTCAATAAACCAAGTATGGATTAAGGGACAACATCTGGAGGGGAGGAGAAAGGGAGAATATCACACAACAATAACCATTGTAGTGGGCCAATGGTGATTCAGATGTGGTATATTTATGATATATAAGTATGATTTCTTACAGTATACAATAACATATTATAATATTTAATATAAGTCTTACCAAAACATTTTGCAATTTTTTATTAAAAGAAAAGTTCAACGCAAAGAACACTAACTCATGAGCAACGTCCTCTTTTCCCAACCTTTCCACTTTACGAGGTTTACTTGAACGCACCATGACACTGGCAGCTAGCCTAGCTGGGCTAACTTGGCTAATCTGATTTATCGTCTCAGTTAAGCGCACGAAACGTTAGCCAGGATTACCAATTGTAGTTTTCTATATTTTGCTTTTAGTGGAATATCTGTCCACGCCAACATAAATCCCATTTCGAAAATGGCATCACTTGGAGAGCCTGTTCGACTGGAAAGAGGTAATGTAAATTAGCTAGCTAGCTTTTTTGTTGTTATTAGAGGTACGTTAGCTTAGCTAGCGACGCTTGAATAAGACTGGAGATAGTTTTTGAAAACATACTCGTTTTGTTTAGTGGAATAACCGCATCTTGGTGATGTATTTTAGTTCATCAGTGACAAATGTGTTTATTTGTGCTAACAAGCCTAACAAACCAGTTCATTTTATGGTTGTATCTTTTAATTTGCTCACTAGCTAATTAGCTGAAATTAATGACAGCTAACAGTGAAAGACCAAGCCACGGAACCTAGTTGACATTTGTTACCAGTAAATAAAAGTAATCTCAGTTTGTTCTCAGTTATTACCAGCAACAAAGAAATGCATTTTTAAAAAGTTTTAGTCTTCCAACTGATTAAAATTATCAAGCGCTTGCAAGTTATTTCTTTGTCCACCAGATATCTGTCACCATAATACATACAAGGAAAGTAGTTTACATGTGAAACTATCCCATCGGTTTTTAACATCCTGAAGAACGATGAAGATAATGGAGGACTCGTTGCTTATTACATTTTTAGATAGCTACAGTAGCAGTTAATACAGCCTTGATATTTGTACCAAATAAATTATAAAATGTTTAAAAAAGATCTGATGAAAAAATAAATGGTATAGAAGAGAATTGTGCCAGTCCAAAAAGACGAGGCAAGTTTTTATATGTTCGAAGATATGTTCCCTGATTTTAATTTGTAACATCAATCAGCTATCGATTATTTTCATTGTTTATTTATTTTTATTTACATGTGTGATTCGTGATTTATATATGTGACTTTTCCACAAGAAAATATCAGCGCTCTTTAACCTCTAGAATTGCAGATGTTTATATTAAACCTGGATGGTTCTCCACTTGGTTTTGTTCCCAGACATCAACCGTGCTATTGAGCTGCTGGATAAGCTGCAGAGGACAGGAGAAGTTCCTCCTCAGAAGCTGCAGGCACTGCAGAGAGTCTTACAGAGTGAATTCTGTAATGCTGTCAGAGAGGTGAGCCGCTTTCTGAAATGTACAGGTTTCTTTTCCCGGTGTTTGGTTTGTTCATTTTGTTTTTATGTATGTGCTTTTAGGTTTACGAACATGTGTATGAAACTGTGGACATCAACAGCAGTCCTGAGGTCAGGGCCAATGCTACAGCCAAGGTAGACCCAATACTCACGAATGTAATTTTTTGGGGCGCTCAAAGTTTATATTGTGTGTTCTGTAAATGAAGCATATTTGTAAAGGCTGAACTGCACATTTGACTGTTTTATAGGCCACAGTGGCAGCTTTTGCAGCAAGTGAGGGACACTCACATCCACGTGTTGTGGAGCTGCCCAAGACGGAAGAAGGCCTGGGTTTCAATATCATGGGTGGAAAGGAGCAAAACTCTCCTATTTACATCTCACGGATCATCCCAGGAGGCATCGCTGACCGGCATGGAGGTCTGAAAAGAGGAGACCAGCTGCTCTCTGTTAACGGGGTGGTACGTGCATTTAAAACACTCATTGTTTCCTTAAAGATGGTGAGTGTGAAGCTGTAATAGGATCAGTTTTTTTTTTGTTTTTTTTGCTGGACTGTTTACGCATGTCCATATAGAGCTGTATGCAGAAGCCCCCAAACATTTTAAATCAACTATGCCTGTGCAGAGGTTTGGACAAAGTATTGAGAATTTTGTTGGTCGTTGGTTACCATCCATCTAAACCATTTGTAGTTAACAGCTTCAGTATCCATCAAAGTCTTCTGCAAGTGAGGTCATCTTTTGTAAGACGAAGCCAACAATTATGTCTCTGTTAGAGAGCCTTTCATAGCAGAAAACTGTTTGTTGTATGCACCAGGTGAAGAGAATTAGATAAATATGTGGTTGTCCATACTGAACCTGGCCTTGACAAGGTCATCCTGGAAACTGTTGTCAGTCTGAAAGACTTGTCAGTGTGCTGAAGCTTTGAAAAATAATTTGATAAAAAGCCAACAAGTAAAAAAAAAAACGGCTGTGATTCTGTCAAAGGTGGATTGGGGTTAGTTACTGATTTCAAACTTTTCACACAGGTCAAAAGCAAACCCGCTAACACCTGATTTGACAAAGGCCCAGTTGGGATAACCAAAGGATAGAGAAGCTTTCATCAGGCGTTGATTGGTGTTCCTTTTGTTTTCTGTCATCCTGGTGATGAATTTTCTTTACGGATGCTAGCTTGTGTTCTAGTGGATGATGGAGTTCTTTTTGTCCTCTTCACTGGACACTGCACAGTCAAAAAAAGGACCTGTACATCCAGAACTTGATTTTGCTGTCCACAGAGTTGATGTTCTCTGTGAAATTCAGGAACTATTTAACCGTAGCAAAGTGGTGAAAATTTAAACTGTTCTGCTAAAAAATACATGCATTCACTGACTTTAGCAGCTAACCTAAAAGAATGCTAACAGCAGGAGAGAAACTACATTTTTAAGTTCAGAGTAAAGAGTCATCCCTCACAACAGGAGCAGGGACTGCTGCTTGGCTCAATTGTGTGTACTTTGGCAGTTTAAAATGTCTGTCCCAGCCAGAAACAATCATCTAATTGACCTCATTTATCACTCAGTTTGTTGTTTCAATAAACTTCCAAAATTACAGGCTGTTTAAATAGTGAGTCAATTGGGACTATTTTCACTCTACCTCTTAAATACTGAAGGGATTGCTTCATACTAAGTCAACACATATGTTAGATAGATAGATAGATAGATAGATAGATAGATAGATAGATAGATAGATAGATAGATAGATAGATAGATAGAT